TATAATTTTTATGTTGTTGTTTGTGTTTTACATTGTAAAGTCGATGTTATAATAAATAAAAAAGTGTCAGTCGGTGTCTACGGAATTACTAAATATTGTCGAGGTGGAGTATTTATACCCTACACAACTATGTTGTCAGAGTATTATAGCTTTTGTGCAGCCCCAAGAGATTGTAACACCGCGAAATATTGGTCTTAGACCCACCTTTAAGTATAACGATCGTCATATCTCGACTAGCTGAGTCGATGTAGACATGTTTGTGTCCGTCCGTCCCTCTGTCCATTACAATTTGTAAACACGATACAGGTCACAGTTATGGACCAATCTTCAAGAAATTTTGATTTTGGTAATGACCCGTTAATATTTAGGAGATGAAATGGATTAAATACTTAACTTCGATGTAGACATGTGTTTCCGTCCGTCCGATTTTAGTAATGATTCGTTAATATTTAGGGGATGAAATGGACCAAATACTTAATTTTTGTCGCTCCAGAGGCAATTGTGAACCAAACATCTCGAATTTTTACATGGAGAAGGGGATCGGACCAAAGAATAAGCATGCCTGTTTTGATAAAGATCGGTCAATATTTAGCGGGTCAAATGGATCCTGACTTTGTGTGAAATTGGCAAAATTTGTATATTTACTCCTGAAGGACAAAGACCCGAGAAGTTAATAGTATATCCAAGAGGAGTGGTTACCTTTATATTGATACAAATTAATTGGTGTATGTACTCGGATGTGGGTTTTACACTTAAATACACTTAACCACACGGGAGGACGGAAATATAGCGTTGATTGAATTTTTGTCGCTCCAGAGACAATTATGGCCCAAACATCTCGAATTTTTACATGGAGAAGGGGTCGGACCAAAGAATAAGCATGCCTGTTTTGATAAAGATCGGTCAATATTTAGCGGATCACATGGGCTCCGACTTTTGTGTGAAAAATGACAAAGTTTGAATTCTATATCGTATATATTTACCCCTGAAGGACATTGATCCGAGAAGTTGATAGTATATTCGAGAGGAGTGGTTACCTTTAAATTGATACAAATTAATTGGTGTGTGTACTCGGATGTGGGAGTTACACTTAATTATTTACAGGTGCTTACGTACTCAGATATTTAGTAACCCATTACCACACTGGAGGGCGGAAATATAGTGCTGAACGCTTTGAAATGTTCCATGAGGTTCCAATTATGGTCTAGGACAACGCCTACAACAATTTTCGGTGATGATCAGTTAATAATTTTGAGATGAAGTGGACCGAAAACTTAATATTTTTGTGTCGATCTGTAGGCCACAATTATAAGCCGAATATCACAACAAAACCCACGGTGAAGGGAATATGGAGAAATAATATGGAAAATATGGCAGTGCAAGGAAGAGGTGCTGTTGACCTCTAATCGCGCAAGAGGGTGCAACTATCACGAAATATTGTCTAGGCTCGAAATAGACGTCCGCAGAGAGTTAGAGTTCAGTGGTAGTTGTATCGTATGGTCGGCACCGTCCGCTCCGTCCACTGTTTTTTATTAACTTCATATTTTTTCATAATTGTGGCAGTTTTTGTAGTGGAGTTAGCGGACAGAGTTGATGGACTTATATAGCCGATAATTGTACCAAATTTAGGATTTACTATTCGCTTAATGCATTGTATATGCTTTTATCAAAGATTTGACCATCTGTTGTGAGATACCTATTGAAAACAATTTCCGATTTAATCAATTACTCCATTAGCGGGACATCTGTATATACTTACAAACATTGACCAAAATTGGAAAATGTCGCTACAACTCTGGCAATACCGAAATTGAGCGTAAATTTTGTATGGGGGTTATGTCAAAATATAGACATATAATAGCGATTTTCAGATGTAGTTCAGCATTCGAAACCCCTAAATACCAAAATACTACCTTTTCGGTTAATACTGCGGCTATGTTATATGGGAGTTATTCCAATTCATGGAAATGTCAGGGCAAGGTATAACGTTCTATCTCAAATATCGCGTGATTTAAACAGACGGATATGGCTACATCGACATAAAATTTTATTCTAAACAAGAATATATAGGAAATATTGACAATTTTGTTTGACATAGCTGAAGCCAAGGTTCACCCCCTAATAACTCGGCAATTATTAAAGTATATGAGAAAAATTGAATAGTTTTGCATTAATTGTTCTGTGCCTGCACTCATTTCATTATACTGACCTCAAAAGTTTATTTGCGTGCTCCATTTTGAGTTTTTTTCGCATTCATTAATTTCCAAATATAAATTATACGGTAGTTGCACTCGAAATATAGGAGTCAGCAACATTTAATAGGGGCATTTTCTCAAAACTCCAAAATGTTGACCGATATTGATAACGCATGGTTGAGAAGAACATGTGTCCAAAATCCCCAAAATAATACTATTTATGTGGTCAAACCAAAAAGAGGAACAATATTTAATAACTCTGGTAGAAAATACCGAAAGTCGGGAGGTATCATTATGTGGAGGTGATGCCTAAATGTGAACACATAACTCATTTTCGAACAAAACCTTTTAGTTTTGTATCTCAATACCATCCTCAAGCTCAACATACTCTTAATACTCTCCGAAGGTAGTATGATAACAACAGATGTACAGACGGACAAAAATGACTACATTGTCATAGAATTCCATGACCATTTTGAGTTCAAAAAATATCCCCCATACTATGGTGAAATACATTTATATAGGGCCAATTCTTAACCGCAAATGCTGTATGGGGACTCCCCCGAATAAGAGGCCGGAAACTAATAATTTTTGGTAGGGAGATTTGTTATCAAATACGAATCCAAAATACCAAATTAAAACGAATTAGGTTGAAAAACGCAATGTGTACCGATATTCATAATTTTTATGCACCTACCTCAATTCTTTCAAAAGATTAAAACAATCGTCTTAGAATTTTACACTGATCAAGAATATATACACTTTATAGGGAAATAAATATTTCTACAAACGGAGCGGAACGGTTCGAGCTGAACATTTATACCCTCCACCGATCGCAACTTTTATATACATACCGACAATTAAGCGTGGCATGGAATGCCAAATTACTGGCACTCTGTAATGTCAATTCGGATAAAAGTGCACCTAGCATCATCAATATACCTGTAAAGGGACTGGATCTTTATATATTGGCTATACCAAAAAGTCGGCCGAAAAAGTGGAAAGAAGTGTCCAATCTGTCCCAAAATGCCGAAATATTTAGTTACCGATATATAAAGGTACCCTAAAAAGTAGACCAATATCGGTTATAACGACGGTATCTAAAATTCTCGCTTATCCACCACTTTTGTCGTTTCTTTGACCACATTTTATTGAAATGTGGCAGTTCTCATAGCAGTGTTCTGATAATTCGAATTATGTTGCATTTGAATTGCGCTTTGACGCTCGAGAGTTGCCGGTAAGCTACCGTTGACTTTGTGCATACTTCTGATTTTATCGAAATTGATAGATTACATCAACCCCGATATCTTGTGATATGTAACTGGTTATCCTATTTTGAGCCTTTGTAAAGGGGTTATCAAAAGAAGAGGACCGACAAGACCCATTTTCATACTGAACCGATAAAACCCATCTCATTAATCGCATACTCATTTTCGTTCATATCAAATATATGTACATATGAGGGAGTGGTATCAGAAGGAGTACACCAACAGTCTCTATTTTCGAATTTAATCTAATTATGAATAATATAACGATTTGCGAAATTTGGATCAATATATAGGTCGGGACCAGACTAGGGCCTCTTTGGTGGGTAAATTCAAATATACCTACAAAATATTTTATTTTTGGCTAGGTGATCACATGAACCTATTTGATTAATATTCCAGAAACAAATTTCCTATAATCCGGAATGCTAATATACATCCACTTCGTTGGACAAATGCGTCCTAAAACCACCAACCTATTTATGTTAAAAGCTGTACCGATATCGAAAATGTCCTCAAAGATATTTTTCACATTGGTATACCTGGAATGCCAAATTACATTCACTTCGGTGGGAAACTGCGGTTAAAGCCTTTAAAATACAGAAAATGGAGCCGAATCTCCTGGTCGCACATTGAAAAGTGTCTGTAAAGACGTTAACAACACTTCGAATGAACCTACCGCAAACCGAAAATTGAGTGTTCGATTAAATGGATGTATATAGAAAAATTTATCGAAATTTCAGTTATTTCAGTGGTCAAAAGCGACTAAAATCTTCCAAGTATTTATGTAGGGACATACCATCTGTAAGGAATGTTTGCCTCCACATAGATAATTGAAAATTATCGGTAAATATATTTTATAAAGACTTCGGTCGTTGTAAATTGGCACTCCTAGAGTCGATTAGGGGGATAAAAATGTTCTATGTGGCGTCATTAGCAAAGGACGATGGTCCATATTGGGACTATGTCAAAACATTTTTGCGAATAACTTATTTAACCACTAAGAAATTTAAATCTCTTTTATTAGAAAAAGGGGGGTTAAAGCCAAAAAATACCGAAAATATTGTGGCTATACCTAGAAGTAGTAGCAATGTGCAATAATTTCGATCCACTATCATAACAAGGAGTCTAAAGTTAAATTCGAAAATATTTTTTTTTTTTTTTTATCCAAATTTACAACTTGCCAAATTTATATAAATCACAAAAAAAATCATTTAATGGCCTATTAAACACCATTATACCAAAACAAAACAGAACACACAAAACTTGTAATTGTCTTAAAAACTCAAACTCATATTTAACCAGTCGAATAACTTTTTCGTAATCACCTTTCCAATTATTCTTTAAATTTATAATTCATTGATCCCCAGAGAATCAAAAAGGCTATTACATTAACCGCAACAATTCTGACATTTTGGCATTTTCATATTTAATACGAATTAATTTGAGAAGATTTCAAAAAGTTGGAAGCAAAAACATTTTCGAAGCAACAATAATTAAATATGTAACCCCTTCTCTATATCTCTCGTTCTCTTTTCAGGCCCCCATTTATGGCAAGAATGGTGCTCAATACACTAAACATGGAGCCTTTTGTCTAGAGACTCAAAAGTATCCCGATGCTGTCAATCATGTAAGTTTCCAATAACACAGCACCTGCACTGACTGCCTGTCCGCCTACACTCTATAGAAATGACCAAGCATTGTAGTGGCAAAAAGAATAGAGAAAGGAAGGCCGGCAGATTGGTTCGTTGGCTGACTGTCGAATATAAAAGAGTACTAACAAGCACAATCAAGAAGCAACCACAACTCCAAAAACTTGATTCTACTGCTACTGCTGCATCAGTACAAGCACCATGGATAGGTTGATATAACAAAGCACCGAGTAAACAAAAATCCGCACAACCATCCTTCCGTACTGTAGAGACCATTTAGCCAAATGAGTATCTTAACTCAGTAGTCAAACAGTAAAATGGCTAAAGAAAAAGGTTTTTAGTGGAAGTGAGAATGAAAATAACCCTAACAAAATAAGGTGAAAATTAACGAGGGTGGGTGAGGGGAATGAATGTAAATAATGGGAAAAAATCAAAAAAATTAATGTAGAAACCCAGATACAAAACTTATTAAAAACTACAATTTGGGAAAGCTGACATTATATTTATTCCGTGAAAAGTCATCGGAATGGGTATTTTTTCAAGGAGATTTCTTATCCACATCCAGCCAAATTCATAAAAATAAGCTTAACCACTCGGGAGTATTGTTTCCGCGAATCTAGAATGATTTGACCCGCGTATAAAATTATGCCTATTTATTCAACTCAGCCATAAACGGATGTAACCGACCGATATATTTTATGCTGATTTTTGCATGGATATGTCCCACTTATTGAGAACTAGAAATTCCAAGTAAATATCATGTTCTACAAAAAATAATGTTCCAAAGTACAGATACTCAAGATGGAAAGCTGTAGGAACTTCAACCTACCGAAAATTAAACGTAGTTTTTGTTTGTTGGCTGAAACCTTCATAGTAGCATCCATTCCTCCACAGGAGCCTACTTGGAAAATTTAGTGAACTTTTTTTTTGAAAATTCGGACATGTGGATGGACCTTTCAATGGGGGCTATATCAAAACTTGAACCTATATTTGTTTCCCAAAAATGTGTACATACTTCCTAATATCCCGGAAAGGCATATTACAGCGACTATAATGTGGAAATGTGGCTAAAATATTCAAAATACTGATAATTGGCGTCTGCTTTTATATGGGGGCTATATCAAAACATGAGCCAATATTAATGATATTCTGCACATATTTATGTCAGTCTTTATGTCAGTCTTCATGAACCCTTTAAACATAGGGGGAATATGCAGCTAAAGCTTCAAAATACCGAAAAGAGGTTGGTATCGTTACATGTAATCTTTACCAAAACGATACCGATGATCTTTAGTCGGAAATTTTAAAATATAACACCTCTTGATAACCTAAACCAGTTAAAAAATGGCAGTCGGTTTTGACGACATATATATATATATATACATATATTCTTCATCTATGGAATTAAACACAGGTTTTATTATTATTATATTTTTGGAAGGTACTTGATAACCTATTAACCAGTTAAAAAGTGAAATTGCAGTCGGTTTTTTTCATAATTTTGACCCTTTGTGGAGGAGGTACATATATAAATATATATACATGGTTAAAATATCAGGTTGTGCAAAGTTTAGTTTAAAACGGATAGTATATTCACGTGATATTATAGAAAAACATTTTGTGGGGGAGGTGCCAGAAGGAGTGGACCGATAACCTCCATCTTCAAACTTGATCTAAGTTTGGGATAAATAACGGTAACTCCCATCGAAAGTTATCGAGCGCACCAGTGGCCAAACAAACGACGAGCATTTGTCGATAGACTCCTAATTGTCTGAAACGGATTTGGCCCAAAGAGACATGGGATCGAAAATCATTCTAGACTCAAAGATATGTATTATCAAAAGATATGTAGGGCCTTGGTGCACCATTCATATAAAATCGGACGAAAATATAAATGGGAGATATATCTAAATCCGACTTTTGTCTAGCATTTATCGGACGAAATCGGACGTATGTTACAAACATATGCACAAAGACATAATACCCTGTACCAATGTGTGGTGAAGGGTATAAAAATTAACCTGCCGAAATGTATTTCAGCCTCCAAAGCCCTTATATGTCAAATTACAGCCCTTTCAATTTCAAAACTCTGTTTCAAATATTGCAACCTCTATCGCAATTTCAACCGACCTACCGATATATCTGAATCGACAAAGAATTTTATTTCCATCAAGAATAAATATACTTTTTGGGGTCTCCGGTAAATCCTTCAGGGTGCTACAAACGGACCATATATATCGGGTGAACGAAATCGGGACTCTACAACTTTAATGTTTTTGTAAAATGTGGTGATGGTTTGGACTAAATAGCCATTCTTTGGAGTGGACCGATTGGATTGGTAAAAATAACACGATAGTAGCAGTGGAGGATAGTAGTGTCAGTGATCCCTTGGGGGTGCTGAAGCCTCAAAAGTCCTATCCACTATCGTCCTAGTTGTGCTCGGGCCACTCAAACTCTTCTCGTCCTTTGGGTTAGAAGTCCACCACTTCTCACCAATAAGGAAATCCTTTTAATTACGAAGTCACACGCAATATCATTCGGATAGTTCGTGGATAACTTCCGAATGATTTTTAGGTTCCTCTTACATAGAATTAATTATTTATCCATGATTGAGTCTCTGTCCCGCCCGATAAATTGGTTGCAGAATTTAACCGCTCATCGGTAAATCTTCTTGTCAGAGATTACATTGGGATTGATACGTTTAATTCTGTCAAGAATTAGTCGTCCCAGAATTTATTCGGGATGCTGTCCTGACTAAGGCGGAAGGAGCCGTTTTCCACGATAAGGTTGAGTAGAAGGTCCGTATGTCTCTCCAGGCTTTCGTTGGCGTCATCAAGAGTAAGCCTTGTAGAGATCGAGATTGAGGGTGACAAGGCAGTCACATCAGTATACATTCACATTATTTTTAGATATTGGATAGACCTTACAATTGGATATTTGAAGACACCATTCTCGCCTTGCCAGCCTGGGATCATAAGCACTCGGTCATTTCCTCCGAGTCTCTTCCCCAGGATCCGAAGAATAATATTGGGCTTTCCACTATCCTCAACCTGTGGACGAGCCCGTTAGCATTCATCTCTGCTCCCCGTAGGCGGATCACACAAAAGTCTCTACATTTATTAGCTAATAGGTGGGTGCTATACAAAATTGATAGTCTCTATACAGTTCTAGGTACAAGGTTTTAAACTTTGTTTCTGGGAAAATATGACTCCAGGAAACAATTACAAAGATTCTCTCCCTCTACTTATCGATCATTAACATACCATCTCGAATGGGCACCTTTGGAACTAAGCTACATCATTTGAAATGTTTGTTTTACTGCCTAAATTGTTTGTGTTTACAAACCGACAGTGATGTCTGGTGTTTTCCTCTTTTTAAGCTGAAATTTGCTGTTTGCCATAGAATGCAGGGGACCATTACGGCACCGACACCTACACAATAACCCAATGACTTGACTGACTGATAACTGCTGCTACGGTTTCGAATAGATACCCCCACAGACACATAGAGAAAATCACACTTTCTTTGGAAAAAGAACCTTAAACACACACAAATCCACACATTGATACATGGGGGTGTATATGTGATTGTCTTATATGTGTGTGCATATCTGTGTGTATGTGACTAGTATCTCTTCATTGTACTATGTATAAGGTGTTAAAGTCTATTTTAGCTGTCAAATAGTGACTTATTGTCTGACAGGGCGTAAATCCTGTAATTGTTTGTTGATAAACTTAAGCTCAACGTTTGCAAAACACCATTGAGAAGAGAAAAAGAAGAAGAAAAAAAAACACAGAGATCCAAAGATTCATAGAACCAGAAACAGAGGACATAAAACAGCATGCAGGCCTGCGAAGGGGACGAAGAAGGACACCATAACTAAGAGAGACAGAACAAAAGGTTCCAATGGTTCAATGGAGAATATTTGCTATGATAAGTTGAGTTGAAAGGTCTTCAAGTAGGCCAAACAAGACCAGCGCCATCACCACCACATTATCTTTCCAGGCATTAATGTTTAAGGCTTTACCAACCAATATTCCAAAGTTTTTTTTGTTTGTCCTCGCCATTGACTTCCAACAGTGACTATGTGTGGTTATGGGTTAGGCTGGGTGGGTGGATGGAGGGCATCAAATAATCTAATCAATTGACTTTAACCATCCTACTTTGCTTTGTTTTTTTCTCTTTTTGTTTCATTTCAGCCCAACTTCCCATCGATCATATTAAATCCGGATGAAGAATACAACCACGAAGTGATTTACAAATTTGGCATATGTCGTAACACTGGCTGCTCTAAACATTAGGGAGATCAATGGCAGCAGCAGCAACCAAACAATGGTAATTCCAAGAAGGAACAACGAGCATACGGAAGGAAGGAAACAAGCAAAACAAATGTGAAATATGTAAAAACCGGAATGAAACGGAAATCAATGTCACTCAATCAAGATTTAAAAACTATTCAAAATAAAAGCCATTTTTTAAATCTTTGCAAATAAAACTGTGTTAAACACTTAAGGATTTTGTGTAATTATAGGGAAATTAAAAGGAAATATTATCACATAAAAATAGTATTGGGTATTGAAAATAATTTAGATGTAAATATCAGTAATACTTTGAAAAGTAAGTACGTCGATAACATCGCCCATTCTCGATTTTAATTTTTCAAGATTTTCAATGGGCTGGTAAATCAATACCAATGCTTTTAAGGTTTTTAACCCTCCAGCATGAGTTGGACATTTAAATCACCTGTAATCATTCGGGACTTTTATGTGGGAGCTATGCCATGGTAATTTTTTGGTAGGACTATTTGACACCCAATAAGATTCAAAAACATAAAATTAGAACAATTTCAGTTAATAACGTAGCCATTATTCCCAACACACATATAAATGGTTGCTATATTAGATGTCTCACGATAAATCTTAAAAACGTGATATCGATTTGTGAGTGACGTGTGAGTTCCAATAAAATGGCTCAAGTTGGAATATTTTGTATGTAGTCAGTGGTGCGTAGACGTGTAAACTACTTAATTCTTTACCGCGGTGGAACGAGTAGTTCTACAAATATAAAGTGAACTAAATATTTTATTGTTAGTATTGCTTAACGAATATAGGGCCCAGGAAACAAGATTAGATTTTTCGTGGAAATCCCAAAAATCACTTCAACTCACTTCAGTCACTCGGACATATGGAATTGAGGAATGGATTAAGTGTGGTTATGTTTTCATCCATGGAACCGGATTAGGGGTCAAATCAAGATTAAAAAAACGAAGACCGACCTCTTCGTCTACAAGCGGAAAAACATTTTTCTTCAAGTCATCTTTCTAATACAATACTTTCTTGAGAAACCTCTGAACCACTTCTGTTCACTTCAGTCACACCGGCATATTGAACTGACCGCCATTCATATATGTTTCGATTTATGTCTACCAGCTTTGCTCCACATTTGGTCTTGAAATGTTTTTTCTAATGCAGGATCAAAATATAAACAATTTTAGCAGAATCGAGATATATAAGGAAAAAATGATGACCTGACCCCATCTATCATATGAATATTTTAAATTAACCACCACTCATTAAAATGAGTCCATATCCCAAAATAGGTCTCAAATATAGGCAAAAGAATACCTGGGATCACATATGTTTAATTCGAAATATTTTGTCAGCATTTAGGACAAGAGTTTGTTATTTGTCTGATACCTATGTCAAGGTCCATATAGTCACGTGTGGCAATTTTTAGCAACTTTTGTGTGAAATATGGCAACATTTTTATTCTACTGCGTAGGGGTGACGAGGGCACCTTTGAAAACATTTTTCTTTCAAGCCTCATACAATTTTATATAATCAATCGGATTCTTTTGGTTACTATTTGTATGAAATGGAGCAAAATAATAGTTATGGAGCTAAATGCAAATCTGCTGCATGCTGCAGCACATAGTGCTGTTCACGATTTTATCTCGCGTATATGGAACAGACGTAAGCACCTCGGTGCACCATTTACATAAAATCGGACGAAACTATATATGAGAGCACTATATAAATCTGAACTTATTTTCATAAAACTTCGTATACATTATTATGGACCTATCTCAACACGTTATTCCAAATTTTGTATTAATCGGACAATCCTTGGGAGCTTGGTGCACCATTTACCAAAAACTCGCTAGATATATCCAAATCTAAAGCGATTTTCACAAAACTTCGTATACATCAATGTGGACCTATTTTAATACCCCCTGCAAAATGTCTCAATAGAAATATATTTTGAAAGTTTGGTGTATAATTTACCTAAAATCGAACGAAACTATATATAGAAGCTTTATCTAAATCTTAACCGATATTCACGAAACTTAGCACGCTTCACCCCTGGCGCAATTTAGTACGCCATTTACAAATTCGGGCAGATCGATAGATACTTTGGTGCACCAATTACATAAAATCGGACAAAACTATATAAGGGAGCTATATCTAAATCTGAACCGATTTTCACGAAACTTAGCACACATCATTCTACACTCGATTCAGTACCCTACTCCAAAATTCGTGCAAATCGAAAGATATTTGGGGACTTTGGTTCACCATTTCTATAAAATCGGACGAAAGTATATATGGGAGCTATATCTAAATCTGAACCGATTTTCATGAGACTTAACACACATCATTCTCCACTTAATTCAGTACGATATGCCATATTTCGTGCACATCGAAAGATACATAGGGACTTTGGTACACCATTTCTAAAAAATCTGACGAAAGTATATATGGGAGCTATATCTAAATCTGAACCGATTTTCATGAAACTTAACACACATCATTCTAGACCAAATTTAGTACGCTGTGCTTAATTTCGTGCAAATCGAAGGATTAACACACATCATTTTGTACTTAATTCAGTACACTATGCCAAATTTTGTGCACTTAATTCCGTACACTATGCCAAATTTCGTGCAAATCGAAAGATATATAGGTACTTTAGTGCACCATTTACCTTGAATCGGACAAAAATATATATGGGAGCTATATCTAAATCTGAACCGATTTTTCCCAATTTCAATAGAGTTCATCCTTCGGCCAAACAAATGAGCTGTGCCAAATTTCATCCAATTCAGATCATAAATGCGACCTGTATTTTGCTTACAATTTAACATGGACAGACAGACAGAGGGACGGACAGACATGCATAAATCGACTTAAAAAGTGATTCTATGCATATTCTCAAAAGGAATCATGTGTCTATCTCGTTTCCTTTTGCCTGTTACAAACATATGCGCAAAGACATAATACCCTGTACCTCAGTGTGGTGAAGGGCATAAAAATGCCCCCTTTGAACAAGGCTTGGTATTTTTGAACGGCATGTTTTTTACAGTGTTTATTTTTAAATATATATGTAGTTTATTCATACATATCAGAAATCCATTTATTTATTAAAAAATATATACAAAAATGTCCGAAAATTAAAAAATTCAAATCAAAATCTTTATTTAAACATTAAATGACAAAAAAAAACTATGTGAACAAAGTACAGGTCGCATTTATGATCCGATTTGGATGAAATTTGGCACATGTCACTTATTTGGCCCAAGAACGAACCCTATTGAAAATCGATTCAGACTTAGATATCGTTCCCATATATAGTTTCGTCTGATTTTATGTAAATGGGGCAACATACTGAAACATTGATATTATGGTGTACCATTTACATAAAATCGAAGAAAACTATAAATGAAAACTTCGCATTCATTAATCTAGACCTAATTCAATACTCTGTGCAAAATTTTGTCTCAATCGGACCTATACTGGCAGTATGGTGCTCCATTTACTTAAAATCGAAGGAAACTATATGGGAGTTATATCTAAATCTGAACCGATCTCAACAAAACTTCGCATACATCAAATTAGACCTAATTCAGTACTCTGTACAAAATTTTGTCTCAATCGGACCAATATTGAGACAAAATTTCAATCGGACCAATATTGAGACAAAATTTTGTACAGAGTACTGAATTAGGTCTAATTTGATGTATGCGAAGTTTTGTTGAGATCGGTTCAGATTTAGATATAACTCCCATATAGTTTCCTTCGATTTTAAGTAAATGGAGCACCATACTGCCAATATTGGTCCGATTGAGACAAAATTTTGCACAGAGTATTGAATTAGGTCTAGATTAATGAATGCGAAGTTTTCATTTATAGTTTTCTTCGATTTTATGTAAATGGTGCACCATAATGTCAATGTTTCACGATTGAGACACCAGTTTGCATAACGTATTAAAGTTACTACAGGTTGGCAGCCGCGAAGTTTTATTGAAAAAGATTCAGATTTAGATATAGCTCTCATATATATTTTCGCCCGAAAAGTGCAATTTCTGAAGGAGAACTGCTGACAGGAAATGAGACCTTCGCATTGTCTTGTAAATTGTTCACTGACGCTATAAGGAGGCACACTGTCGCATTTCTCATTCTTATATTCCATAGATGAACAATTACCGACCGGTGGCTGTAGAATTTCATGACGGTAAAGGGTGACCAGTTGCGTTTCTGTAAACCGCATATGATTGGCGTCTACACATATCCTTGATTATCCAATTACATATTATCCATATTAAACATGGCCGAAGAATGATCTTACCTTTTTAAATTAGTAAACTGATATGTTGCACTGTCAGTTATGCGTTGAGCAAAAAAAGTGAATCATCGAAATATTAGTTTATGTTTTTTTGGACCAAATCCGTTTCAAACAATTTGGAGTCGATTTACAATGACCGTCCGTTTGTTGGTCTGTCTGTCTGGCCGGCTGGTGCACATGATAACTCTCGAAGGGAGTAACCGATTTCGTCAATGCTTTGCAAATTGTAATATATCTTCCAATCTTAGATCAAGTTGGTGAAAATTGGCCTAATTCCATTGGTACCTCCTACACTAAATTAGACACTTTTAGCTGAAAATTAATTTTATAATATAATACGAAGAAGGTATCTGATATGCAGCAAAGTTGGCAAAACTTAATTTTTTTAACAAAGCCAGAATAACATTTGGTTAGCTCAGTGGGACTCCAGCGATGGGGATCGTTACTATGGTTAGTTTTCTTAGTAAATAAATCAAGGTTTATTTTATTTTATTTGGTAACGATATGCCTATGCGCAACGATATACGTGCTGTATGTACGAATGCTAGCAATAAGTATTATTATATTATTCTAAATTAAACAACATTAAAAGATTTAACTTATCGATCCATACCTTCTAGTAACTCCCTCACAAAGGGCCAACATTTGGAAAATTTGCTGATCTTCTACAAAGCGAACAG